GGGCGGGCGGAGGGATGGAGGGAGGGCGGAGGGATGGAGGGAGGGCGGAGGGGAGCCGCGGAAAGTCGTGGGTGTCTGGACGTGTCGATCGGGCCCCGGGCCGGCGCGCGAGCCAATGAACATCGGCCTCCGCCGTGAGATCGGGACGACATGCCCTGGCCGCCGCTCTCCCTGCCTCGTTCCCCCCCCTGCGCCCCCACCCTCAGCACCCCCGGGGCGGTGGAACAAATAGCGCACACACAGCGGCAACCGGCGCGGGGGGGCCGGCCGGCGGAGGGGAGAGATGTGTCTTATTTATTGGGCAGCCGGGGTGCCAACGATCGGGGCGATCGGCCTTCAAACCGCCGCGGCCTTTGCCACACCGGGCAGCGGGGCATCCTCGGCGGTGGGATCGAAGTGCCCGGTGGCCAGGGAATGCAGGGCGCGGGTCTGGCGCGCGGCCAGGAGTTTGGCTCGGAGGAGGCGCAGGCGCTCGGCATGACCGGCGGTCCTCACGCCGCGCGGCAGGACATCCGCCGCGTCGACCGGGCCCGGACGCAGCCGGGCCACCCGGTGCTCGACCAGGAACTGCATGGAGTCTGGGCGCACAGACGTACACACACACACACACACACACACACACACGCAGACAGACACACATACGCAGACAGACACAGACACACATGCGAAAGGGGAAGAGTGCGGACGGGGGAGAACGAGGGGGAGCGGGGGGGAGGTCAGGTGCGGAGGCGAGGGGGGGGGGGGAGGATGTGGCAGGGCACATGGCGGGGAACGAGGAGAAGACCGGAAGCAGCAGGGCACATGCGGGGCAAGGCACGTACCCTTGAGGACGGCGTTGGCGTAGGACAGGGCCGAGGAAGCGGCAGGGGCCACTGCGGCCCGACTGGCCGAGTGTGATGAAGAAGACGCGGTGGCGTCGGTGGCGGGAGCGGCGACCGGTGCTCCACGCCGGACCGGCAGCGGGGCCAGCGTGGCGACCACTGGGCACAGGGCAGCCGGTTGAGAGGAGGAGAGGGAGGAGGAGGGCGGCGCACACATAGAGGCAGACGAGAGGGAGAGAGGGAGGTGCTGCCGGGTTAATGGGTGACTCGGGCGGCGGGCGAGCCAGGGCATGAGGCATGGCGGGAGCGTGGGGCGGAAGGGCAAAACAGCACATACTGCTCTCGATGGACGTGGCCCGGGTCCGCGCCAGCTCCGAACGCAGCGCCGCCACTGTGGCATAGAGATCCCGGACGAGGGCACGCGAGTGGGCCGGGTTGGCCTCGGCCGCGGACGCGGCCGCCGTTTGGGGCGCGGCGTCGGCCGTGTCGCCAACGCGCACGGCTGCCGACAGCTGTGGGGGTACCCCCAGCCACATGGCGGCCGAACGCGGAGGTCATGAGGCCAAAAGGACCGGCGGACGGGGTTAGGCTCCCCGGGCAGGGGTACGAGGCGGAGAGGGTGAGGGAGCATGTGCGGACCTCCTTGCGCAGGGAGATATTCTGCATTTCCATGTCGTCCAGCTCGGCACGCAGGGCTTCCAGGGCCTCGGAATACATCTGCGCATCGCGGCGGGACTCTTCCAGACTCGCGGCCAGCTGGGCAGCCTGCTCGGCCTCCTCGCGAGCGGAGGCCGTACGCGCGGCCAGCAGGGCCACTCGGGCGCGCTCTTCATCCAGACGCCCGGCCGCCGCGGCGGCCGCCGCCTCATGCTGCTGGATGGTTGCCTGCAGGGAGGCCACCTGCTCACGCAGGGCATCCCCCTGCTCCTGACTCTCCAGTGCCAGTCGGAAGCGCTCGCCGAGGGCCGCCAGAGGACCCTGCGGGCCGGGCAGATATGCATGTGTGTGCATGTGTGTGCATGTGTGTGTGTGTGTGAGAGAGAGAGAGAGATGGAGGGGAGAGGGCCATGCGCAGAGCCATGCCCATGAAAGGGCACAGAGCGAGTGGCCGGGAGGAAGCAGCAAGCCCGGAGAGGGAGTGGGAGAGAGGGAGAGAGAGAAAAAAAAAAGGGGGGCGCACCTCCTCAGGCTGCGAGGGCCCGATGTCGCGATCCACCCCGTGCAGGGTCTCGACAATGGCCTCCATGGCCTCGGCCGTCGCGCCCAGGCGCTGCGCCAGGGGGGTCAGGCGCTCAACCACGGCCGCCGGGGCCGGGGCCGGGGCCGAGCCGGTGCCAAGCGCCGGGACCAGCCCCTCCAACTCGGCCAGCAGGCCCTCAAGCTGGGCCTCCACCTGCTGGACGCGTTCCAGATCGGCCAGCTCGACCAGGACCTGGGCATCATCGATGCCCGTGGCATCCGGCTCGCCGGCGAACAGCGACTCCCCCAAGCGCCCGGGGGCCGCCAGCTGCTGCAGAGCCGGCTCGCAGTCGAAGCGCTTGCGCAGCTTCTTCGCCAGCACCTGGATGGCGCGGTTGTGCCGGTTGGCCGTGGTCAAGAGCTGCGCCAGGGCCTGGGCCGAGGCCGAGGCCGAGTCGGCGGGCGCATCCGCCGCGCCACTCCCGTCCGGCTCCTCGGCATCAGCGCCGGCCTCGGTCACTTGGGCCGGCTCCGGCGCCCAGGCACCAGCCAGGTGCCCGGCCGCCTGGCAGAGGACCACAAACAGATCATCCGCCCGGGCATCGATGGCCGCCGCGTGGGTGCGAGCCAGGCCGGCCAGCACCCGTCGGCGATCGGCCCCCAGCAGGGCCTCCTCCAGGCCGGAGGCCCCGGCCAGCAGACGCTGGCAGAGGGCCTGGCCAAAGCGCCCGGCCGCCGTCGCGTATTCCCCAAGCGCCACGGCCGCCACGGCATCATGCAACAGCCGCGGCGCGCCCTCCACCTGGGCCAGGGTCCGTGCCAGGGCCTGGAGCAAGGCATCCAGCCGGCGCTCGGCCGCCGGCAAATCCGGCAGCAGCGAGCCCAGCGAGGCCAGCGGCCCGGCCGCCGCGGAGGGGCCGGCCGCCGCCGCCGCCGCCGCCGCCGCCGCATCGCCCCCGGCCGGGGCCAGCTGCGGGGCAAAGAGCTCCACCACCCGGCCCGAGGCCCCGGGCCGCGCGACCGACAGAGCCAACTGCAGCAGGCCGAGCCCGCGCTCCAGCGCGCGCAATGGCCGCCGCGCCGTCACAACCAGCCCCAGCCGGGCGAGCTCCTGGCCGGCGGCCAGGCGCCCGGCGTCGCTCTCCCCCGGGGCCGGGCCAAGCGGCCGCGTCAGCGCAGCCAGCACCGAGTCCGGGCGAGCCGGCAGCAGGTGATCCGCCAGCCGGCCAACCGCGGCGGCCTTGCCACCGGCGCGCACCACACACCGGGCCAGCTCCAGGAAGTACGCCTCCGGCACCAGGAGGTCGGCCTGCTGCACGGCCCCGGCCCAGGATCCCGGCAGGTACCCGCGCAGCAGGCGCGCCCGCAGGACCACATCGGCCTGGGTGACGCGGGCCTGCTCGGCCGCCAGGAGGCGCTGCAGGGCCGGGACCGCGTCCAGCCCGGCCCCGGCCCCGGCCCCGGCCCCGGCGCTCGGGTCGCCCCCGAGCACCGACCCGTCGAGAGCCGTCTCGGCGGCGGCCGCCGCGCGCCGGTGCAACTCGGCCGCCAACTCGGCCGCCGCCGTGCCGGCCGCCGCCGCACTCTGGCTCCCGAGCGTGGCCTCCAGATGCAGGATGCGCTCCTGCAGGTCGCGCACCAGCCCGCGGAACTTGTCGATGGTCAGGTCCCGGTCCGACCGAAGCCCATGCTCCAGGGACAGCTGCCCGGCCAGCCGGGCCACCAGGGCCTCCTGCTCCTGCAGCGCCTGCTCCAGCGCCCGGGCATTCTCCACGTAGGTGTCCTCCAGCTGGTCGCTCAGGGTGCGCAGGTCCTCCAGGTCCTGGATGCTGTTTTGCAGGTCGGTGATGTGGTCTTCCAGGTCCAGGACCTTCTCCGACAGCTCCTCGACCATGCTCTCGGCGGCGAGGCCGTCGTCCACCTGGAGCTTCAGCTGCTCGACAAGGCTCTCATTGTCGGCATTCTACGATTGACGCCGATCGCGGCGCACCGGGCGGGAGGGGAGCAAGAGGGGGAGGGATGGAAAGAACAGCGAGGGCACACCGGCCAGGACGGCGGGTCAGACAGCGGAGGCGGCGCGACGCAAAGGGCAGGGCGAATGCCAAGCGCGGAGAACTCGCTCGTCCGTACCTCCGCCTTGAGCGCAAGGTACTTGGCCTGAAGCTCCGGCATGTCGCGCTCGAACTTCTCCAAGTCCCGCACGCGCTTGGCCAGAGCCGCCTTCTCCTCGGTGGTCCGGTCACGCAGGAGCATCAGCGCCTCCTTCAGGCGGTCATTCTGCAGCTGCAGCTGGGCCACCTGCTCCTGGGCCGCCGGCGACAGGACTTCCCCCTCGCCGGCGGCCGCCAGCTTGGCCAGCTCCTCCTCGTGCTCGCCGCGCACGATTTCCAGATCCAGCGTCAGCTCTTCGACCTGCTCGCGAAGCTGATCCACCTCCGCTTGGAGCTGGTCGGCACGCTCCTCGGCGAGCTCCTTGTCTGTGCGCCGGGCCGCGGGGGACACATTGAATTAGACACCTCCTCCGAGCACAGGCAACTCAGGGCAAGAAACCGGGGGGGACAGGCGCCACGCACCCATGGTCAGCGATTCGGCATGCTCTTCCATCTCAAGCAGTGCCTCCTCGCGCTCTTCGCGCTGCCGGCGCTCCTCGCTATCCTGCTTGCGCAGGGACACCACCTGCGCTTGGAGATCGGCCACCTGGGCCTCCAGGCGCTGGCGTGCCTGCTGCGCCGTCTCGGCCTCATGGCGCAGACGCTCGGCCTGCTTGGACTTGGCACGCTCTTCCACCAGGCGGGTTTCCAGCAGGCGGAATTTGGCCACCAGATCGTCGTAGTGGCGCTGGGGGACGGTGGCGTCCACCGACAGGGGCAGGGACCCAGTCGGGGGGGCTGCCGTGGTGGCCGCCGTCGCAGCGGCACCCACAGCAGGGGTGGCGTCGGCCGCCGTGGCAACGGGCCCGGCCGCCGGCTCCGGCACGGCCGTCGACTCCGTCGCCGCCGCCTCCACCGACTCGGGAGCCGCAATGACCGGGCTTGCCGGAGCAACCTGCTCGGCAGGCGGTGCAGAGTAGCGGGGGGGGGGGGGAGGGGGGGGGTGGATCGGTCCGATCCGGTCCGACCCATGAAGGGTGGGGTGGATGAGTGACGGCGAATGCAGATGGTGGACAGACCCCGAGCGCCAGGGGGGGGGGGGGGGGGGGGGGCAAGGACAGGCATGCGACGTACCGGTGAGGCTGCGCCACCGGGGCCCGGGGAGACCGGCTCGTCGAGTGGCGTCACGGCCGTCGGGCGCACGAACAGGCCATGATTCGGCGCACACGTGAAGTAGCGCTTGCCCTTGACAGTGCCGTCGTTCTTGCCGACCGGGCCATCAAGCTCGATGCCGACCCAGCTGCGGCGAGGCGAGAGATGTTAGCATCGGGAGAAGAGGGGGGGCAGGGCGGGGCGGGCGGAGAGCGCGGCTTCTGTCGGCGCATGATGTGGGTGCACATCACCCGCGCGGGCAAGCAGGGCAGGTGTCGACGGCGGCGGAGGTGATCGCGCACATTCCAGACAGGCCATCGATCGGCCCGGCGAAGCGGACGATGCCGCGTCGGTCGTTGACCAGCACGCGGTCGCCGACCGACACGTTCGGCTGGTCCATGGCAGGGTGGGGAAGGGGGAGGGGAAAGGGGCAGGGGGGAGAGGGGGGAAGCAAAAGAAAGCGGGCCCGCGCGCGTGCGGTGTGGTCGCTCGTGTGGCCGTGCGGATGTGCCTACGCGATGTGTGTCGCGTGTGTGGGGGGGGGGGGGGGGGGGGGAAGGGAGGGAGGGGGGCGAAAGGCGCAATAAAGGGCAGGGGGCAATGCCGACCTCTGCGATCCCTGCCACCGATGGGCGGTTCCCCTTTTCGCGCACGGCCAGCGATGGGTTGGGGGCGGGGGGCGGGGCACCGACAAACAGCCAGATATCGGCCATAACCATCCCCCCGGCCGCGCCGGCCGGAGCAACTCAGAAACCAACGCCCGGGAGCGGGCGAGCGCACTAGATGCATGTGTACATGTGATCAGCGCGGAATTTCCGTTCTGCCGGACCAGATCCTCGCTCTGTGTGTCACACGCACGCTCAAAAAGGACCTCGCCTGGGGGGGGGGGCGTCCTGCTTCTGCCCAGGGCGGCACACCCGCCAGGGAAAGCACGCGGACATGCCCCCTCACGCTGCGCAGGGGGAGGAGCAAGGACAGGAGGGGGTGTATTTATAAGAGGGGGGGAGGGAGCCGGGAGGAGGAAGGACACACCCTCCCCTACGGTGTGCCACATCATGCTGGTGCAGGAGGGACGCGCAAGGGGCGAAGGATCTGAAGGGCAGCACACTACTCGGTGAGGCGGGTCTGCGCGACAATCACCCTGCCGTCGCCACCGCCGCCGGCGCCGGATATGGGTGTGAGTGTGGGGGGATGGAGCGCGCGCGCGCGGGTTACTTTTAATCGTCGATGAGGCCGACAATCATGCTGTGCGGGGGGGG